AATGCTAATGCGAACACTTCAGCACAGCGAGCCAGCCACAGCGAGCCATACACAGCCAGCCAGCCAGCGACTCCCAACCCACCCCAAAGCCTTCTCCTCATCAATGCAACGAGAGAGTCGTACGGGAACTGGCTCTAAGGGGTCCCCTCTATATATATATCCTTAGGAGTAGTAGCTAACTTGCAAGTGCCGATCGTAATACAGCATTCGAAATCGTGTCCTGTTTGCTTATTGATTGATAGGTACTACTACGTGTGTACCATTCAGCCACCGTTCAGCCACGTAGGCTGGGTATGTGCCTTCCGTAGCAGAGAATGGTGTTGGCGATGGCTATGGCGATGGCGATGGGGATGGCGATGGGGATGGCGATGGGGATGGCCTAATTTATCCCCAAGTACTTTCAGCTTACGAATGTGGTTTTGAGGGCGGCCGTAAGGTCACCTAAATTTATCAAAGTGCGCGACTGACCTTCACACTAGGGGCATATGGCTTACCTTCAACTGGCAACAGTAGAGGGAACAAAGCATGCCATAAAAGCACATTCATAGAGGCTCGAAGGATGGCGATGGCGACGGCGAAGGCGAAGGCAATGGCGATGGCGTATCGAATCAAACCACACGATCGCTTACGAAACAGGGATGCTGACACGTGCCATCCAACGAACATGATAGCCATCAGATGACGACGATGATTGAGTATCGTATCATATACGAGAGTCATGGAGAGGGGCAAGAAAGACCGGAGACGAGGGAGAGCAGAGAGGAGGAGGGAGAGTTTCAAGACGGACGCCACGACGGCGGTGGCGAACGAAAGTCGATCGACTCACCTTCTTCTATCACCTTTGGTGGCGCGGTGATCGTGCGGGAAGTTTTGCTTCGTTTTTTTAAATTTCTTTTCGAATCTTGTCGAGCCTTGACGACTCTCGGAATTTTGGACTTTATTTTTGGAATTTGCGTTTTATTGAAGTTCTTTTTGCATTAGCTAGGAATTTAGGAATTGAGGATTTCTTTTTGCTGCGTGATGCCTTTTTGTTCGCGCGCTTCTTTTTGCGGCTGCAACGGAGCTCTGATTAGTCGGCGCCCTTAATCTTGCGAGTAACTGTAATTTTGGGCAGGGCGCCCTTGTAACTGTATCTTTCTTCTTGGGCTTCGTCTTTCCCCCCCTCTCTCTTCTTTGCTGTGTCTATCTGGCCCGCGGACTGCATGATGGGATCGATGCGTGGAGAGTGGCCACGTCCCCCACATTGCGGTCTGGACATGCAGAACGTAGGTAGTTCCTTTTCCCTCTCTCTTCTGAAGTCCTTGCAAATTCCGTGTTCTTCGCGCATGCATGCACGCTATAAATTCCGGCTGCGCGATTAGATAACTCTCTTAACCCGTTGGAAGCTCGGGGTAGCGCGATCAGTGAGGGTCGGCTCACGAGCGAAGTAAGAGGTGAGTTGAAGTGGGAGTCGGGCGACCTAACGGGCTGGTGCCGAATGCGCACGCGGGCGAACCTGACGGGTGCAGGAGGACTAAGGGGGGTGACGACTTCGTGGGTTGGTGCGTGACGACGGACTGTCCGCATCAGAGAGAGAGGAGGAGAGAGCTGAGGTTGATGGACATGGATTTTCAATTTTCATTGTCCTTTTTCCTTTTTGCTTTGTATATAAGTTTTGGTTTCGGCTCGAGCGATTCGCTCTCCTTTCCTATCGGCATCTTTGTTTCAATTATGGTCCTTGTGTGATGACTCATTCTGTCTCGGCCCTCCCTCTTTTGTGTGTATGGGATGAACGAGTTCTGACAGAATGATATGTTTGTCGTTTTTGCCTAGTCATCATCATTGCTTGTCACTTTGATCTGCTGTCACCACGATATAGGTTCTGATGTTGATGCGATGACTGATGTAAGTAATGATATCTTGCATACTTCGGAATGATTGCTTGTGGGATCACTGAATGGTTGGATGATCGGGTAGTTCTCCATGACCAGTGGCGATTTTTGCATGAGGAGTTAAAGTCTTACTTTTCCGGGTACGAGCGAACACCTCATGGGGATATGTGTAGCGCGATCTGATCTGCGCAGCCTACACGTGTCCACGCGCGGTGATTCGTGATCATTAACGAACCTGGCACCCCCAGTATCGGACAGGCGGGGAATTTTCTTTCTTTCACGCACCTAAGCTCGTAGAAATTCTCGACACCATATCGGGAAATTCCCCTGCCAGTCAGATGCGTGCGGAAGGCTTCCACTATGCCGCAATGACAAGATGACGTACACATGGGACCCAGGGTACTTTGAGCCTTGGGTAAGAGGTGTATAAGAGACAGACACATGGGACCCAGGGTACTTTGAGCCTTGGGTAAGAGAATATCTTGGGCGAAGAAACCCGGAATTTCCCTGCCTAACCGAGAATCGATTGTGGCCCAGGGAGTTTCACTGTGCCATAACTAGCGATCCGATGTGCCCTGATTACCCAACTACGTATAACACACAATACTTCATATCCCTCGGCTTCGTCGTTATCGCCACCAATTTCCTCGTCCCATACCACCAGCTCACAGTGGTCTCATGGAACTCCATAGCCCCGTATTGGCCCCGCACGCCTTGCAGAAGTTGCAGACGACGCAGCAACCGCCGAACCTCCGGAATTACGGAGCCTACCCGTAACATGCGACGACAATCGACACGCGTTTGCACCCGGAGGTCCGACTCGTAGGAATCACGACCCTCACGAACGGCGGATGGGACGACCCAGGACGCACCGCGCATGCCACGACATCACCGCCATCAGATGGAAAACCAACCGCCCCCTAGTCTTATTGCACCTATGCCCCTGAAACCTTGCCACAGGAGATCTCAGTTCTGACCTGGGACTCCACCCCCACTTTCCCAAAAATCCTTGGCACACCCCGTTTCGCACTTCCAGGCCCACATCCCACTCCGATCAGGAAGTCGCCCCGGGCGTGAGGTTGGGCGTCACATGTAGCGATAGAGGTGCACTGAAAACATGCACCCTACTGGTAGGGGAATATGGAAAATTTGGTTGCTGGTACTCAGCGGGGATCCGGTAGGGGCATATTGCAACTATGGAACGGGTACCCGTAGGGGTATAACAAAAACATTTTAGGGCGATGAAGTGGCCGCATGGGCGTAGCCAAAAAGGTGCACTGAAAACATGCACCCTACGGGTAGGGGCATATGGAAAACTTTGGTGCTGGTACTCAACGGTGATCGGGTAGGGGTAGACTATATAACAAAAATATTTCAGGGCCAGCCAATGCTGGAGTTTGATGGGAGATTGAATCGTGGTCAGAGGGGCACGAAAGGGTACGTGGGCCCTCGAAGGGGCGCGACGCAGAATAATTAAAATTACAGGGGCGCCTGACAAATTGTCCGTTTTTCTTTGTTACAAGACTTTTTTTTCCTAAATTCGAGTTGGAATTGTAAGGCATTGCATATTAATACAACATGTACGCCGTCTATTCGGAGTCCAGTTCTATTGGAGAAAAGTGGACCACGCCGTTTCGATTTTGGAATGTTAAAGTCAAGGACCGCGGACCGCGGCCTCCTACCGGGGGCCGAGTTTGAATCGGCTCCTCTTGAAGTCACGCCCGCTCTCGCTGACCGTTGGAAATCCCTCTGCTGCTGCCGCTTTGCGCCATCCTCCGAGCGACCCATCGCGCGCGCGCACTTCGCCATCTTTGCCCTGGGAGGCAGCCATTGCTGAAGGAACCAACTATCTTCGCCAGCCACCCCAGGCCAGCCAGAGAGCAAGAAGCGAGAGCCACCTGCCTCCCAGAGAGCAAGCAGGTCATTCTCTCTCTCTCTCTCTCTCTCTCTCTCTCTCTCTCTCTCTCTCTCTCTCTCTCTCTCTCTCTCGCGTCGCCGCGATGGTAGCCGCGGTGGAGGAGGGGTAACGGCTGTACTCTCTCTCTCTCTCTCTCTCTCTCTCTCTCTCTCTCTCTCTCTCTCTCTCTCTCTCTCGTGTCGCTCGAACTATCTCGGCGTAGAGGGGAGGAGATAGCGATGCGGAGGAGCAAGGACTGACAAGAGTGAGGGACGAAAAGGATGGGATGAGGATAGGAGGGAAGGAGGTGGAGGATGACAAGAACGAGGGGCAAGGAGGGGTGGTGGTAACAGGTTAACTCTGTCTCGTTATAGCGATGCGGAGGAGTGAGCACTGGCAGGAGTGAGGGACGTAGAGGATGGGATGGTGGACGAACAGGGGAGAAGGAGGAAATGGGGAGGGGGAAGGAATGTCGAGTGGGAGGATGGATATCGAGGGATGAGTGATTTCGAAGTTGGGTGAACTTTTTTGCCTTTTTCTTATTTTTTCTTCTTTTCGATGTTAATAGGACTGTTTGCAACATCGCACATCTGTCCGCTTTGGTCGTGCTTTTATCGCTTCTCGTATGTGATGTATTTGTTCACGGAAATCCATCAATCCATCAATCCATCGATCCATCAATCAATTAAGATCAATGGATTGCTATGATTGATTGATCGATTGATTGATTGATTGATTTAGTGAGTGATTGAGTGATTGATCGGTTGATTGATGGCTTGATCGATACATTGAGTGATTGAGTGATTGATCGATATATTGAGTGATTGATTGAGTGATTGATTGAGTGATTGATTGAGTGATTGATCGATAGATTTAGCTGTCGTTGACCCCGTGGGGGATGTGTTAGGCGCTCAAACTCTTGGTTGGATGTTTTTGGCTCAAATCTTTGCTGGTCGCATTATGCGTCGAAATTTACGGTTGCATCGAATCTTGGCTCGAATCTCTGCTTCTGGCCACTTCTCGACGCAGTGGGGGGTGCCATCGTGCTGTCAAAGTTTTCATAGAAAATTTCTGACCTCCTGGAGGTGCGACGTCATGCTGTCAAAATTTTGGTTTTCGGCCTCGAAGCTTTTCGCTTGAATCTTCCGTCGTTGCATCTCCTCGACCCCATGAGTGTGGCGTTGTGCTGTTCAAACTTTTGTGGGAAATTCTCGACCCAGTGGACGGTGGCGTTATGCTGTCGAATCTTTGTTGATCGAGTGTTTGGTTGGTTGGTTGGTTGGCTGGTTGGCTGGTGAGTTGGTGAGTTGGTGAGTTGGTGAGTTGGTTGGATGGTTGGTTGGTTGGTGAGTTGGTGAGTTGGTGAGTTGGTTGGTTGGTTGGTTGGTGAGTTGGTGAGCTGGTTGGTTGGTTGGTTGGTTGGCGAGTTGGTTGGCTGGTTGCTTTGATTTGCTTGTTTGCATCGCTTGCTTTGCTTGCCTTGCTTACTTGGTTTGCTTGCCTTGCTTGCTTGCTTTGCTTACTTGCTAGCTTGTCTTGCTTGCTTGCTTTGCTTGCCTTGCTTGCTCGCTTTGCTTGCCTTGCTTGCTTGCTTTGCTTGCCTTGCTTGCTTTGCTTGCCTTATTTGCTTTGCTTGCCTTGCTTGCTTGGCTGCCTGCTTGCCGCCAGCCTTGACTGCCTTGGCTGCTGCCTGCTTCACCTGCTGCCTGCCTTGCTGCCTTGTTGCCTTTGCTTGCCTGCCTTGCTGTTTTTGCTTTCCCGCCTTGCTGGCTTTGCTTGCTTGCCTTGCTTGCCTTGCCTGCTTTGCTTGCCTTGCCTGCTTTGCTTGCCGTGTGTTCTTTGCTTGCCTTGGCTGCTTCGCTCGCCTCGCTCGCCTCGTTGGCATCACTTGCCTCGCTAGCCTCGTTCGCGTCGTTGGCTTGCTCGCCTCGCTGGGCCCGCCTGGCTTGCTTCGCTTGCCCGGCTTGTTTCGCTTGCCCGGCTTGCTTCGCTTGCCCGGCTTGCTTCGCTTGCCCGGTTTGCTTCGCTTAACCGGCTTGCTTCGCTTGCCCGGCTTGCCTCGCTTGCCCGGCTTGCCTCGCTTGCCCGCTTGCCCGTTTGCCCGTTTGCCCTGCTCGCATGCTCACTTCGCCCGCTGGCCTTGATTGATTGATTGATTGATTTCGCCTCGCTCGCCTCGTTGGCCTCGCTATTCTCGCTAGCCTCATTCGCCTCGCTGGCCCAGCTTGCTTCGCTGGCCCGGCTTGCTTCGCTGGTCCGGCTTGCTTCGCTGGCCCGGCTTCCTTTGCTGGCCCGGCTTCCTTCGCTTGCCCGGCTTGCTTCGCTTGCCCGTCTTGCCTCGCTTGCCCTGCTTGCCTCGCTTGCCCGCTTGCCTGCTTGCCTCGCTTCCCCGCTTCACTGCTTCCCTGCTTGCCCCGCTTGCCTGCTTGCTTCGCTCGCTTGCCTTGATTGATTGATTGCTTGCTTGCTTGCTTGATTTTTGTGAACAGATGTAAGGATGTGGGAGAGATAGTTGAGGAGGGAGAGCATGAGGGTGGGATTCAGTGGCAAACCTGAGAAAGGGAAACAAGAAGGGCCAATGCAACTACTGCGACCTCCCCTCCTCTTTTTTTTTGGTCCTACCGTCCAGACGTTTTTTTCCGGTCCGTCAAGTCCAGACTCGAGGGACCGTCCGGATCCTGAGATGCTCGGCCGTCTAGTGGTGTCCGGATCTCCAGATGGTCTGGACCGGCCCAGACACGGGTCCAGAAGTATCTGGTGTGCAGGTCTGCGGTTACCATGGTGAAAAACTTGATGAAAAACCTAAATGAACACTAGAAAACTAGCAAGAACAAAATGAAAATCATCACTGGTCTCTCGCTCCTCATACCTCATGGCTCGTCTCAATGTGATATCCCCTCTACTTATTGTATTAGCATAACTTTGCTTAACGGCGATGCATAATTGAACTGGTTCCCCCGAGAATATAATGGGGTTTTGTTGTTAAAAAAAGGAAAAAAAAAATTTACATGGTTTCTGCACATACCCTCCAATCATGCTCCTGTCTTTTCCCTCAGCCTATGATATTCTTCCATCCCTCAAGACGAAGTCGCATCGTGAAATCGATCTTTGAGATCGTGGTGGTGGTGCTGGGGAGGAACCAGCAGCTCCACTCCCTGAGGTCTCTCTCTCTCTCTCTCTCTCTCTCTCTCTCTCTCTCTCTCTCTCTCTCTCTCTCTCTCTCTCTCTCTCTCTCTCTCTGTGTCCCTCTCTGTCTCTCATTGTATGGAATTCTCCCATCTCATAAAATGAAGCCACATGCTGGAAATGATCTTGAAATGATGGTAGTGGTGGGGTTGGAAGCAGCTCCACTCCCACACTGCTTGCTTTCTCCCATATGCACTACAAAATTACAAACGAAACTGCAAACACAAAGAAGTGTGGCGCATATCAGAATGCTCCACACCTTCACCGAAAGCACCTTGTTGACTCCAATAATGACGGCATCAGAGGCTGGCATCCCTCGCAATCACCCCTTAGGTAGGTGCAACGTTCTCAAGGCAGAGTCTACGATCCCACACTTTTTTTTTTTCCCTTTCTTTTTTTTTTGAAGTCCATGGACTTTTACTGCTACCTATGTGTGAAGTTCGGGACTGTATTCCTGTCTCCAAATTTGCAGATACTGCAGCGCAATTCGAGACCACTCAGTCTGTGTTCCATCCAGTATGAACGGCAGAAGTCTAGGAAGGTCTGAAGACGCTGAACATCAAAGCACCACTAGCTTAGCGGTGTTTCTTTGTTGCATGCTGTGTCCGGATTGCATGGGAAGAGACCAAGCCTTAGGGTCGTTGGAGTGTTTGATCTGGCGGCGGTGATGGTTCATGCAGAGCCTCGGAAATTCCAGGATGCTCCCTTGGGCATATGGGAGACTGCAGATGGAGGTGGGTTAACCACCCCCAAATTGACCCACTTATCCATGACAGCCTTTGCAGACAACATCCGGCAACTGACCGGGCCGTATGGGTTCTATGATTCTATCTGCCTGGAATTTGTAAGTGTCAGTATCTTGCCATAAAACTGGCAAAATTCATCAGATATTTCTGACTATGCAAAAGCAGAATGCAGCGGGGGCAGTCTAGGGAAACTTGGCTCGGAAAGCCGAGTCAGAAAACCCGCCCGCTGCACATTTTTCCTACAGATTGTGAGGCCAGTACAATGATGCAATCCATAGACATAAATTGGACAAACAAATGTGTGTGCTAACCTGGCACAGATGGAGCAGCATTATTTTACTGCAGAGTACAGGAAAGTCGACCCGGACACTGAGGTCAGGCATCGTACAGGCCGCTGATTGCCAGTGAGGCCAGGGCAGGCAGACCTTGGAGGTCAAGCAGAGGAGGAGTTAACTTTCTCTCTGGCGCTCCTGCTACATTGTTGACATGGTTGCTGTTCGTCTGCTGCTGCTTCTGCATTGCTGTGGTCTGTGATTGGCCGTCCACCGTCTGTGAATTGTGGGTGCGCTGTCTCTTCACATGCACAGGGGCCATGCTAACTTCTCCGCAGGTTGTTAGTCTTCATTGTTCATTGTCTTTGTAGTACCGGGTAGCCTTCCTCTATGTACTGCTTTAACAGCATTACTTAGGAAGTTCTTGATCTGCGTCATGCACCCATTGCGTACAAGGGATTGTGCTATCTACAATGTCATTAGGGGTTCTCTACCCGTTGCAGCTTGGGAAGACGGATGGCGAAGGCCTGGCAAGAAGGAGCTCTGGTCGTACCTTAGCATGAGATCTCTTTCCAATTGAAAAAAACGCGTGTGTGATCGTCATTGCTGACAAAGGCTGATCATTATCAAAAAGATGATCATAGCCGTTCCCTAGATAAAGTCCATAGCCATTTTCATGTGCCATGCAATCATGATGGAGTCGGAGCCTGTTGAACAGATTGTGAAACGGCTTAGCCAACCTGACGGAACTCTCCTTGCAGAGTTACAGCAGAAGAGCCTGTGCAGAAGGCTGGCGAGTACGGGAGGGAGAGAAGGGAGATTATGTGGGTCGGACTTGGAAAATAAACACAAGCGTCGGGTTCCTGCACAGGGTGTGGATGCTCCTTTCCGTGCTCTGCATCGTCTTTGGAATCTTGGGATCATTCTGCTGGTTACCATGGTACTAGTGTGTATGTTGGTCCAGAGCCGACATAAAATTTTGTTCTCAGACTGCATGTATTACACTCAAGAGGAGAGGAGGAAGTAGGGAAGTATGTGACTCATGTGTCTTTCATTCCAGTTTAACTGTATGTTTTGAAGGACCATTTGTTTGATGATTTAATGTGATCTTTGCATTTCTATGCCAGGTTAGGGAGGTGAGTGACGTTGGGTTCTGGATGTCACGTGTGACATTTTTGTCCTCAGCGCAACGGGAGCGAGCTCCACGTATGTTCTCCGCCAGATGGAAATGCAATGGGCCTGGACTGCTGGATGCTGAAAGGCCTTGTACTCCAAGCTCTTGGTATGGACTTTGGATGCGGGGAAATGCACCATGTCCGGCACTAGCAGTAGACCATCTGCAAGGAAGGATCAGGATGGGGAGAGGAAGGAAGATGAGGAGGAGGAAGAGGAGGAAGAGGAAGATTCGGTGGATAAAAGTCAGGGAGGGAAGAGAGAAAAGACTCTCGAGAGTTATGGTAACGGTGGCTTCTTGAGGGCTGTAAAGGCTAGCTCACACGATGCAGTATGCTCGCAGCATACCATTGGGGGAGCACACACAGAGCAGGCGGACCGGACAGGAGAGTCTGTCTCGTGTTGCCCGGGATCATCTGAGTCCACCGCAGGTGGTGTCACCAAATCAATTGGGTCAAAAAAGAAAGCACCAGCTTCTCCCCTTTTGCGCCCCGATGGCAGGAGCACTGGCTCCGAGCATGCCATTGGGGGAGCACGCACAGAGGAGGCGGTTCGAACAGGAGAGTCTGTCTCATGTTGCCCGGTATCATCCGAGTCCACCACATATTGCACCAAATCTACGGTGGCGAAGGAAGCACCAGCTTCTTCCCCTTTGCCTCACAAAGATAGGAGCGCCTGCTCCAAATCCCTCGCTGCCACGACAATCGCCAAAGCCGAATTGAGGGAAAGTTTGCCACCATTCTTTCTGCACCTGCAGGATCTCCGGACACCTGCCATCCTTAATGACTCTGCCTGTGCCCTTGACTTTGGTCTTCCAGGAACGAGAATAGAAGCAGAGGAATTTGTTGGTCTGAGGTATGTCTCTCCATGGCAAGTGAGGAGCAACATTTCAGAGAATGTAACGAAACCGTATGTCGATGACCTCAGTAATCTCTCATTGCCCTCGTCTCTTTCAGCTCGTGTACCGAAGGCGATTGGCTCCGTGATTCCTGCCTTAGTCCCCAGCACAGGAGGAGAGAAGGAGAGAGTAGCGGCACGCCCTCCGCACTTTGTGGACAATTATGCTGGGATGGAGCCCAATGGCGAGCATGAGGAGGAAGAGAGTGGTGCGATCCCTGAGGGAAGAACGTCCCTTGTTGTTCTGTGTCCCTCCCCAGTTCCCATTGACATCAACTTACTTGCCAGAGCCCATCACGATGTGCTGGATGTGGGAGGAGCTCGGACAGGTCGACACCTGCAGCAGGATAACAACCTGTTCGATACGGACTCTTGTGTACTTTCCCGTTCAGCTACAAAGGGAAAAGGTGTGCACATCGAAACAGACATTGCCAGTCAGGAAGGTGGCCGTATCAGCCATCTGCCACTCCATCAGCTGCAACGAGGACAGCAAGAGTCCAACCTTTCCAACATTGAAGAAAGCCAGGGGATGCTGCTAACTGACGACTACGAGGATCGCTGGCTTTCCTTGCTTCCCCGTCACGACAAAAGTAGCAGCCCTGCAAAGGTTGACGGCATCAGGACTGTTAACTTGAACACTGAAGATCAACCCCGAGGGCTTTTCCCTCGTCTGCCTTCCTTTGTACGGGGGGCTGTCAAATTGGACGCTCTCCCTGGGGAAGATGGCAGCAAGGGCGATCAGGTCGATGTGGGGGCCGGACATCAGCCACCCATCCAGGGCCAGTCAAGTGGCCACCAATTGCAGACGGTCAAGCTGCACCAAGTTGACGGAGGCAAGGGTACAATGCCAGAAATGAGGGGGGAAGTGGTTAGTGAAGGGAGCGCGGTGGGAAGTGCCGGTTGTGAGCGAGCAATCCTTGCCATGAGGCCCAGCCAGATGCAGTCTCTCAATCTTGAGCAGCAGCAGCCTCAAAAGCGGGAGCAGCAGCATCAGCAGGAGGAGGAGGAGGAAGAGGTGTTGGTATGTACAGCAGATGTGGATGTTCCAGGGCACTCAAGTCAGAGAGCTGCAGGACAACTATACTCAGCCTCTAAAGCAGGTAGAGAGGGGACAAGAAGAGAGAAGAGGAAGGAGAAGGGGGAAGGGATGGCCGAGTCATTGGTAATGAAGGGTGACAACACAGTTCGAGTAACAGGTAGAGATGGCTTGCCAGAAAGTTTTTCCGGGCTTTCAGGAATGTCATCTTCAACCTCCTCAACAACACACCAGGGCGCATATGGAGAAGGGGACCAATGTCTGCACATTTGGGAGTTGTTTTGGAAGGACGGGGGGCAAAGTGGCACCCTCCGAAGGCTGAAATTTGAGACGAACATGGCCGGATATCACTTAGTGAGGCAGAGGCTTCTGGCCTGGTCAAAAGCGGCGTCGACAAATGATGTGATGATCATTGCAGCCCAGGCAGCTATGATTGCTTCTGGTGAAGGTGTGGGGGTTACACCAGCTGGAAGTTCATCATCGACAGGAACCCGGAGAACCAAAGGTAAACAGCTGAGGCAGGAGGGGCTTACTGAGATAATCAACAGGAGCAAGAGCTATTTCCATGGTTCATCAGTTGACAAAAGCAGTAACCTGAGGCATGAGCCCCGAGATGTTCGACCTCTAGATCCAAGTCGAAGTAAAGATCGAGGGTCAGGGGAAGCAGGGGCAGGGGGGCACATCGATGAGGCGGGCCCAGGAGGAACGAGTGGGTCTCAAGCAAGAGAGAGGAGGTCTAAGGAAGAGGAAGGGAATAATGTCATAAAGTGGGGGTCTGTCCTGGTGGAGGGCAAGTTCTTGCCAAAGAGGGAGGGCGAATCTCTTATTTTGAAAGATGGTCACTTCAAAGCACTGGCTGCCGCACTGCCGCCAAGGATCAGGTTGTCTGGCTGGGTTCTTCTGTACAGCTCATTGCGGGATGGGATAAGTCTGAGCACACTTTACAGAAAGGTGAGCAAGAGAGGACCTTGTGTACTTGTTGCCAGGGATTCCAATCAGTACGTCTTTGGCTGTTTCACGTCTGAGGAATGGAAACCAGGACAAAAGTATTATGGCAACGGCGAGTGTTTTGTGTTCCAGGTTCATCCCGAACTCGTGGCATACCGATGGACTCGAGCCAACCACCTCTTCATGTTCTCCACTCATAATCATCTAGCCATAGGTGGTGGCACCAACTACAGCCTGTTCATTGACACCGATCTTGCAACTGGGAGGAGCGGGGAGTGCGAAACATTTGGCAGCAAGCCGCTGGCTAGTTCGAAGGAGTTCGAGCTGGTGTACGTGGAGGTCTGGGGATTCTTACGAGGAGGGTAGGGTGGGTCGGGAGAGAAAGAGGCTTGAGCTCTGGGAGACTCCTTTTTTTCTTTTCTTTTTGGGAAACGTCACAGTGCAAGTCCTCTATCCAGATGCTGTGAGTGAACCATCTGGACTGGGGAGTTGCTGAGAGGATGGCTCCTGTCATATTGGTGGAACTCTGTGAGTGGAACTCTGTGAGTGTTTATCCCTCTGTGTTCTGTGGGTCATCTGAGATTTTAGTACGAAGCGCTGACCTCTGTTCATTTAAGTACCTGTCACACTGTACGGTAGCAAGAGTTAATAAGACGCCGGTTACTACCCTGCCCGTAAAGCAGATTGCGGTGAGGACTATGCCCAGTGGTGGATTTGAGCCTCATAATGGCTCTTGGTCCTCCATATCACCATCCAAATCTCCCCTGGGGAAGCCGGGATGCTGTTGAACGTGGCAAAGTGGAGAGGAGGGTCCTGGTTTCAAAGATGGCTGGAGCAACAATGAAATGGTAGTACATCATGAGAATGACAATGGAATTGAAAAGAACGTCACTTGCAGTAGGAGAGGATGACAGTGAGTGTGAAGGTACCGTTGCAAAAGCAGAAGGCCATGGCAGCTGAGATTGAGTGGAGAGCTTGGCAGCCAAGGATGGCTATGCCGGTGGTGGCAAAGACATTGAAGTTTTTGAGCTACTTAGACACGCTTGGGGCGACAAACACGGCCACCCGAATTCAAAGTTGGATCCTTCAAACAGGTCATGGTTGTGCCTCCCTGCTGCTTTCAAAGACGTTTGTTCCCCATTGCCCGTCTATTGGAAAGAGAAGTTGCATGTGGGGGAAGATTTCTGTATGATGTGTGTGTGTGTGTGTGTGTGTGTGTGTGTGTGTGTGCGTGTGTGTGCACGCGCTAAGCTGCATGGGATAGAGAGCGGACGAGTGACGGTAGTGCACCCTTGCGCGAGAGCGAGAGAGAGAGAGAGAGAGAGAGAGAGAGAGAGAGAGAGAGAGAGAGAGAGAGAGAGAGAGAGAGAGAGAGAGAGAGAGGGAGGGAGAGAGATTTTCCCCAGATGTATTCGACCAGAGTAATGGACGGATTCAGCCAGGAAAGCCCTGATGCGACATGCACAAAGTGAAGCACGAACATAGACATACTGCAGTACGAGATGACAGAGATGTGTTTGACATGAGTTATGGCCACATTCGGCCAGAACAGCCGCGATGCGACATGCATGAAAAAGCACGAAAATCGCAAAATGGGCATACCTAGCAGGGTCTTCCTGCGTGTGTGTGTGTGTGTGTGTGTGTGTGTGTGTGTGTGTGTGTGTGTGTGTGTGTGTGTGTGTGTGTGTGTGTGTGTGTGTGTGTGTGTGTGTGTGTGTGTGTTTTAGATTTTTCCCACAACAGCCCCAATTGCACCGAGGTGAATAGATTCAGAATCAAAGCAGTCTTTGTCCTATTGCAGACAAAGAGAGCATTTGAGATGTCCAACATATTAAAGCAATTTTATAATTAGACAGTTTTTTGGTTGTTCTTGGGGTACCCCTTTCATTGTTCTTGCAGCTCCCCTTTTACTGTGCCTCTTACGCACAAGGCTGCCCACGTTGATTGTGGTTGAGCGGCAGCTGCCCACATCCCCGTGTGCCTTCACGGCCCACTTGCACGTTATTTCAGGAGGCAGAGTAAAAGGGAAGGTATGCTCCTGTGCATCTCTTCAGAGCTTCACTTCAGATCTTCAGCTTATACAGTCTTTGTATCCGTCCTTCATCTTCATACTTCCGTTCATTTCATTTCTGATCTTCATATCGTCTATACTCTTAATGATGCTCATTCATATGTATTTGTTAGTAGTACAAGGGGAGTGGAGAGGAGGGTGGAGGGTAAGGGGTAGAAGGCGGAGTTCTCTAGGAGTATGGGGCAGGGGAGGTAGGGGCAACGGGAGGGCAGGATAGAGTATGACATGCAAAGAGCAGGGGAAAGGTGTATGACGGGTTTCACAGATTTCTAAATATTCACGGTTGAACTCTGGCGAGTGGCCACCCCTACAGACCGGACAGGACCGGTTCGGGTGTGGGCTATGGAAGCACCGCATCCAATTTTCGCAGTCACAGTTGCTGCATCGAATTGCACGGCGCAGACAGATGTCACAGGCTACGTGGCTCGTACATGCTAGGAACACAGAGGCACGTCGACCGCAATTATAGAGGCATTGCCGTTCCAGCCCTCTGTGTGTGTGTGTGTGTGTGTGTGTGTGTGTGTGTGTGTGTGTGTGTGTGTGTGTGTGTGTGTGTGTGTGTGTGTGTGTTGCTGTGTGATGATGATGTGTGTAAAGTTGTAAAAATATGTCTTTTTACCTCAGCATGGTAAAAGATCATGCACCATACCACGGCAACACTCCAGGAGAAAAGCACCCATCTGAGTGAGTCAAGTCCAAAGACACTATTCTGAGTGATGCACTCAAATAGACAGATGAAAGATAGTGTAACAACCTGCACAGTACCAGTCTAAGATTTTGCTGTTTTCTGTGTATTACCGTTTGCTGGTCTGAGATTTCAGTGTTCTGTGTGAGTTTGCTGTGTGTGTGTGCAAGTCCCCGTCCGATTACTGCTCTTCGAAGTACTATCCATGTGCTTGCTCTGTGTTTTCTGCGTTCCTGCGAGGGTTAGATTAGAAGTCAGAAACCGCAGGGACAAGACTGAAATTGGGGACTGGACGGAGTTCTAGAAAGGCTGGGATGGACAGGGACACAAGTAGAGTTCGGGTAGTAGCCGACATGGATTTTCCAGCAACTCGGGTTAGCCCAGCAGTCGTCTGGAAGGCCTAGAAGGACCCAGTAGCTTCCCGAAAGGTCATGAGTGAGTTGTCAGGGCGCAAACCTACCGTCCTCACCCGAAGAGAACGCCTGCTAATTATGGCCTTGTTTGGACTGGACGTGGCATGAAATACAGCCATAATGACCGGGCGTTCTATTTTTTCGGGTGAAGAAGGTAGTACCCTGGAAAGGCAGCGGTAGGAGCAGTACCACAGCCTAAGTGAAGCTGTGAGGCCGAGCTGAAGAGTATATCATTGGGGTACAATGAGTGAACACACTTCAACACAGTATCTTACCTGGCAGTCATGGTGCTGCTCTACCCAGAGGGTGATGTTAGGCAGAGCTCCTCCTGAGCGGTGCAGCTGGACGGAGGAGAAGGAAATCTCCTTGGATATTAGTAGTAGTAGTAGGAGGGAGAAGGCCTTGGCCATGGAGCCAGAGGGTGAAGTGCCCAATGCCAGGCTATGGAGAAGGGCGAGAGAAGGAACTGACAATGGCGACAAGAGAAACTCACATACGGCTATGGTGGACCTTCATCTTCACTTCCTTGGTTGGTGCATGTCTTGCAGTTTGAATTTTGCATTATGATTGAGGAAGGATCATAACAACAGAAGAAAAAAGACACAATACAAAACTGAAAAAATAAGGTCTACAAATTGTTCTTTCGGAACTGGACTGCAATAGACCCTGGCATCCCCCTAAGACCGGCGACAGATTTCCCAGACCCTTTCCCCTCCACCCATTATCGCTTGAAGAACTGCCCCCAAGTGGTTAAAAGAAAAACTGACTCAAAACCATCTCAATTGGACGCTGAGCCCAGTTCTCATGTGTTTTTCCCAATAACCGTCAATAACGGCCTCTCAGAGGTATATGTCCTTTTAAAACATTTTGTTTCGCATAGGGACAGCACGAGGTTGGCAGGGGCAAGGGTAAGGGGACGGAAGGAGACCCTGCTGGTGCACCCCGGTGAATCTGCTTCTGATACCCGACCAGGCCACGAGATAAGGAAAGGAGGAAATTGGCATGGAAAGCTGGACCCGGTTTCCAGCACAGTGGTTACGTCCTGAGGATGGCATGTTGACAAGATGTACATTTCATAAGGGACGCCGGACTCGGTTCCCAGCACGTTCTGCTCCCCCCGAATAGATCAGCATTCAAAAAAAAAAAAAAAAAAAAGAAAAGTATTCTTGGCCTGTTGGCTAAGATAAAGTGTAGTATCTGTTCTGATCAGTTTAATATCTGATCTGTGGTTCATCAGGCCACAAAAAAAAAAAAGAAAGAAACAAAAAGGAAAACAGAAGGTTGATGACAGACTGATTCGCTGGAGGGGGCTGAATCCTCGACAATCACGGAATCCCCTTATTGATGCTTTGGACTCTTTTAACCCGGTTGCAAGTGGACAGCTCGCAGCCAACACGACAAGCAGAACATGGCAGCAAGGGAATGACTCAACGAAGCACTAGGCAACGCTAAGAGGGCAGCCCAACTACAAAGTGGCAAAGCTAACTGCATGCAACGACATCGCAAGCAGACATGCAGCAGGGCAACAACACAGTGGAGCACAAACCAGCGCTGACAAAGTGGCCAAACTACACATCAGACGTGCAAAGTACAAGGAAAGACAAGGCACACAGATTGGCAGCAAGGCAATAATGCAGCAATGCACGGAGTACACTCACATGGCAAGCAAACCACAGACAAGTGGCAGGGAAAGATATGGCAAGCAGCTGGGTAGCAAGGCAGTGAAGGAGCGCAGACAAGGCAGTCCACATACCCAACACGGACGAAAACCATCCATCACCTACTCACACCACAACTAAACCCTGCAGAGAGTTCGTTCTCACCACCTGCTGAGCCAGGAAGCCACTCTGACAACAAATATTTGTTATCAGACTCATCACCCATGGGGCTGTGCATCCCCAACTGAGCTGCCCCCCTATTAGTGTTACATGCACTCTAAGCAACCTGCCATCAACTATTTAGCACTTCTTAAAGGCGCACGCTTAGACACAAGGAAAGCAGTAAGAAAACAAATATGCATAAAAGTTGATAAAACTGATTTTGTACGTGTTGTTAAAGCACCCCAAATTCTCTCTCATTTCCTCCACAAATCATAACAAACCAATCATAACAAAAATGTATAGATAGACGATATAATACACACAACTATGATACCAGGCTGGGGGAGTCTATCAGGTGTATGACGGGGTCTACTCACTCATGGCTTAGCCCTAGGGTAGGGTAGGGATATAAGTTGCTCCGGCTAGTCTGAGTTCCGCCTAGCCTTGGGTAAGTTAGGGGAAGGAAGGTGGGATGTGTCCGTGCGTGCTGGCTTGCCCTGCTTAGGTACTCCTGCTGGGTAGACTCTCTGAATTGGGCCTGCAGAAGATTGCATGAGCCTGGTGTCCGAAGTTTCTGTAGGGCAAGGTTCGTCCACTTCTGCTTCCACTAGGGCTGGGGGGTTGGCCCAGCCTTGGTGCTTGTCACTGCTGTCTGGTCCAAGTTGCCCTCGATACTGGTAGGGTGATGGTCCTGAGTGCTGGTCACACTGAGGTAGAATAGTAGGGACAGGGGTTGCACTGGGAGTATTAACCTGGGGATGGGTAGGGTAGGTGGCCTATCCTGTCAGCACAATCAGTGGCTGCCGCTGCCAGCAATCACCGTGGGTCTGGTCCTTGGCCTCTACAACACCCTGGGCTTTTTCAACCAAA